TCATTGAAAATCGAATATTTTCAAAGATTTCAATACAAATTTGTTTCATGTTTATTGACAATAGTATTCAATTTTCTGTGTCAGTAGTCGAGTCAGTTCGTTTAATGTATCAAATGATGTTAAACATATATTTATAAACACCAAATGCCGATGATATTCATTACTTTCAACCTTAGAAGTTCGTAAAGGATGAGTGTATACGAGCAGTCGCATGTAAATACTCATTTGTATACTCAAAGTAAACGGATTATTCATTACAGTAGAAAATGCTTTATAACTCAGAGATAAATTATTTTTGAAATACTGCTTATTAAGGGTCGACAAAAGAAGCTATAGAGACCTAGTTGAAGACGAATTTCTTTATACCGAAATTATGGCTAAAATACTGGATTAATCGCGTTTTAATTGAGATATTTGTAATCAAGAACAGCTCCTGAAGGATCGTACAGAGCGATTTTTTTTGGAAAAAAGCAACATAAAAATTTGTTCTAATATCTCACCCGATATGTACTATGATGCAGTTAAGGTATAATTTTATTATTAAAAAATTTTCAAGAATCAATTTGCAAAATTTGGCTCTGTGCCTTCGCAACTTCATAAAACAAGGAACCAAAAAGATTTTATGACATAATATTCAGGGTTGAATAAAGTTAACTTTTTTTTAACTAAGTTAAGTTAAAGTTAATTAACAGCTTTGAAAATTTTACTTAATTAAAATACAAGTTAATCCATAATGAAATTAATTGAATTAAAAATTAAGTTAATAAACAAAGTAATTGAAAAGTTAAAAGTTAAATTTGGTTCGAATGAACAACCAAAAAAAAAAAAGAAAAAGTTTAACTATTTTACACAATTTTTTGTATTTTTCCTTTCCCACAGCATATTTATTAATGAATTTGATTATTGTTCACATTTAACGATTATACAATATAAAATTACTAAATTATATGCTCATTAGGCTTTCGCATTGTATCTGAAGATTGACTTAAAAAAAATCAACTTAAAAGTTAATAATTACCGATAAAATGCAATTAAATTAAGTTAAAAAGTTAAGAGTTTAAAACTAAGTTAAGTTAAAATTAATTAACTTTTTAACTTTTTAACTTAATTTTTATCTTTTTAACTTAGCACTGCCCAACTCTAATATTACTTCTTGAAGATAAAATATTAGCATAAAGACAGGTATCTGTATTGTAAATAAAGGGCCATTTTATTCATGAAAATATTTTTATTAAAATTGCAAAATTTGGTTTCTTTAATAAGCTTCGTAGCTTCATAAAATATAAACCAAAACAAATTTCATGGCAAAAAATTTCTTCTACGAGACTTAATATATGGTAGAGTCTGATAGAGTGCAGATTTGTAGCTACACCACAAATGAGGTGTAAATGAGTTAGCTTGTCACTCCTGTTGACCCTTTTAGTTTGACGACAAACTGTTGACTTTTTTTATTTTGACGAGTATTATATATTTCTAAAGTTTAATATCACCTTTTTTAAAAAGACACTCTAAATAGAAATTATATCCTATTAAGAGGGCATAGGAGGATTTTTCCACCTTTAAAAAGTATGCCTCTTTTTCTGGAAAATATTTATAAGCTACAAGGATTGAATTTTTTGTAAATAAAAGTACATATTTTTTGCACTCTTAATCACAATTTTTTATTTTATATTTTACTGAAAAATACCCTTTCTTTCTTCAATAGCATGCAACGTTTCGCGATACCAGAAATATCTTCGACCTAATTTATTAAAAATAAAAAATTCAGAAAGGTACTTACAGTATATTAGAAATTATAATCCCTCGGATATGATTTTTTATTTTTAATAAAATGGCGAATTTTCAAACTTAAGGAATCAATTTCTACAAAAATTTAAATTTTCTTTCTGAAAAAAATAAAGAAATAAAAAAAGCATCCGATAGGGACTACAACTTTTAATATATTTTAAAATCTTTTTTAAATTTTTTATTTCACATAAACCAGATCGGAGATATTTTTAATACCATGGTGAAACGCTGTATGCCATGCAAAGTCTAGAAGAGAAAAGAGTATTTTTCAGTGAAACATAAAATAAAAAGTTGCGATTAATCGGATTAATCTTCATGTATAAAAAATTCAATGTTTGCATTTTATATATCTTTTTGAAAAATCATGAAAAAGACATACTTTTTAAAGCCGAAAAAGTTCTATGCCTTTTTATAGGAATCAGAATTTTATCTGTTACATTTAACGTGACTTGATATTTTTAGATTTGAAACGGGAAACTTTTTTTTTTTTTTATTAAGCGCGAGTGGGGAAGAATGTATGGATGTAAAGATAAATACAAGAATAGCAATTTATTTAAAAAAATAATGCAATTATTTATCGTTCGAAATTGTCAATTTTAATAAGAAAGATAAATCTTTAAGAAATGTATAAAATCCTTGGTAAATAGAATTAAAGTTAGTTTTTGTTATTATATATATATATATTAGGTGTTGGAATTAATTCGTAGCGTTTTACAAGTGATGGGAAGTACTTTCATTAATGTATTTTTTAATGCTCATGTGAAATAAATAACATTCTTTCATTAAAAAACGCTACGAATTAATTCCAACACCTAATATATAATATTGTTCTCAAAATAAATAATTTCCAAAACAAAGTTTTTCTGCTGTCCATACTTTGCTCATTGTGCGAGCAGAGAACTTTTTCAACTGCTATATTGCTTTCTGGAAGTGATACATATTCTATGCTCTTGCAATTTGTCCAAATTTATAAAAAATATTTTTCAGCGGGTTCTTTTTGTTATTATATCGCTAAAATCTGAGCATTTAACACGTTTGACGGGATAAAAGAATAAACATCTTAAAAGCGAGACCATCGAAATCGGAACATCTGGTTACATTAATTATATTAAGAAACACGACGGTTAATATTATTACATAATTTTCAATAACTCTCCTCACTATTCTAGATACCGATTCCTTTTTGAGACTACATGCCTGTAAGTTATACACTTTTTTTTAATAATATCGGTATTAGAACGATCCAGATGCACATTCAACGATTATTTAATTTTAATCACGCAAAAAAATATTTTCTTGCTTCAGCTAGAATTATAGCTATTTTTATTTGATAGAAAATTACATACGCGTAGAATTTATAGCATAAATCTAAATTCTATCTCTGTCATTTATATGATTAGATGTAATATATATCCAATATCACAGTACTTGTTAGAAATTTATCTATTTTAGCTATTTGTCGTACTTAGATAATTTCCACTATAAATGCAAGATCACTTTTTTGAGTGATAAAGACCTATTATTTGTATAAATGATAAGGATGGCAAGATTGAATTTTTTTCACAGGACAAACTTGTCTTCTGTATGCTGTATGCTGAGAATCGGTAAAAATTGGAATAAAAGCAACCTTTCGCCCACTCGGAATCCTCGCTTATATTCTCACGTACAACGAGATTTTTCTATCCTATAGATAAATCGACACAGTTCATTACGAAAGATCGTGTTCTCGTCTCGCTTTGCGCGATTGTTCAGATGCATTATTCAGAACAAGAAATCCTTCGAGAGTAGTCTTCGGGCAATGAAACACAGAATCGCGATTTATACACGCGTATCGATCCTGTTACTTAGAACCGATGAGAGGAAAAATAGAAATGTGAAGATGGATTCTTCGCGCTTTATTTCTCGTTTTACAAGATAATGTTGCAAATTACGTTATCTTTATTCTGGAAAATGCAAATCATCTCACAAAATAAGATATCATCGGTCTTTAAATAGCTTGTAATATCTCGTGAATAAGATGTAAAATAAAGAATGCTCATTAATTCAAGAGGAAATTCTTTGCTCTTTTGATGGAAAAGAAATATATCTTTAGGAAATAAAGAATACTATAAAATGCGCATGAATGATTCTTCGGTAGTTTACGATTCTTGCGTGATGAGGTACAATTTTCGATTTATTTTTCGACTTATTGCGCGGATATCAATAGAATAGTAGGGTTGTCAATTTGTTACGTAATAAGACATTACAATACATTGCATATATCTAAACAAATTGCAACACTTTTATCTGCACGATCTTTCTAAGGAATTGTCTAATGAAAAGTCAAGAGGATACACTTGGCTGGATCTTTGTTGAATGTCGAGTAACAGTGTAAAACGAGAATAACAACATTAATTATCATAAACTTTACAAAACTTTGAACAATTTTCCTTATTATATATAAGGTAAAAAGCAAAATTTAAAAAAGCAAGATTCAAATGCATAAAATGTATTCATGTGTACACAAAGGCTTTATTGCCACGGCTTTTGAAATAGGTAAAAGAATATTTTCATGTACATCGGTTTGTTAATATTTCCACAAAAATGTATCTTTGTCTTCTCTATACATCTTAACGATAAAACTGATCTAATTGTTAGCTGCGTTGTCAAGCTGCGTTGTGACATCGAAAAGTATTCGCACTGTATGTTCCGTCGTTTAAAGTAATTTCAAGATATCGTGATAGCCTGACAAGTTTGCTCATAAATTCATCTACTCCACATACAAAGTATTTTAATTTATAAATAAAAGCAAACATCAATAAGATAGTGATTCTATAATCAACAAATGCTCGTGATTTTCCTTGGTGTAAATGATAAATGCATCTATTATTATTTCAAAGAGAGTGTGAATTAGATGTTACATAAAAATTAAAGTTGCGATTTTTACACTAAATTCTGTTATCTAATATTCGATATAATTAATAAATAAACATTCACTAAGACTAATATAAAACTTTCTTATAATGCGATATAATAAACATTTATAATAAGTTTTTTTTATTATCATATACATTTTTACCATAATGACGTAAGATAGAGCCAGTTCTATTTCGTTCGAGACAATATATAATCGAGATATAAATATAAAATAATAGAAAATGTCAAATAGATTTAAGAAAAATATTTGACGAATGAAAAAATGCGTACAAAGTATAGTTCCTTGTGCATTTCAGAAAGAATGTCAAAATCAGGGAGCATTAAAGATGGCGAGAAGGGGCCCTACGATCCGATCCCTTCCGCCGAAAAGGGCAACGACGAGATTAAGCTGGAAGCGAAAATGTCGCTTCTCAATGGAGTCACCGTCATCGTCGGGTCCATCATCGGTTCCGGCATTTTCGTCAGTCCAACAGGAGTCCTTAAATATACCGGAAGCGTGAATGCAAGTCTTCTCGTTTGGACGGCATCCGGAATTTATTCTATGGTACGCATAATCTATCCCTTTGTTTTTTTCTTGGAAAACTATTTCTCGATGACTTTTGGTCTGTCGATTTTTATTTAATTGATTTCTTTATTATATCTGATGCCAATGTATTAATAAAAGTAAAAAAAAATTGCTTCTTGATAGATTTACAAATAAAAAGAAGAATGATTGATTAACGACGGTAATGTCTGTATGAATAAAATTCTTTCGCATTGAATTCGGATTTTTCAATGTATCAGCTCACACCGTTTATTCAAGTGACAGCATAGAAATTCAAATTGCTACAATTGCAAATCAATTCTGATAAATACATTTCGATGTATGCAGTGACACATATAATAAATTAAATAACACATGATAGGGAAAAAATAAAGGAGGGGATATTTAGGAAATATTAGGAAGAGAATAGCGATTAGAGTATAGGAAGATACAGGTCAGATAACGAATCCATATCGGTTTGAAACGCTCACGTTTACATTCAACTTGTAAAATGCCATTAAAATAACAGCGAGAACTTAGTTGCGCACCTAATAATTAAATTCTTGTTTTTTTTTCCATATCTTTCGACAGATAGGGGCTTACTGCTACGCCGAGCTCGGTTGCATGATCAAGAAATCGGGGGCGGATTATGCATACATTATGGAGACTTTTGGACCCTTTTTGGCATTTATCAGACTATGGGTTGAGTGTATGATAGTGCGTCCTTGCAGTCAGGCTATCGTGGCTTTAACTTTCAGCGTCTACGTCCTCAAGCCGATTTTTCCGGACTGCACGCCACCCGAAGAGTCCGTAAGAATGCTCGCTGTCTGCTGCATATGTAAGTAGACAATAAAAAATCGAGGGACACATCTCCGCGACACAAGAACAAAATCCAGAGCCTCTCCGTCAGTCGTGATATATCTGCGAAATAAAACAAAGCGAAAAAAATTGTTTTTTTTTTAGGCTTACACGGGAAACCTATTTAAAAATTGTGATCCATGTGCGCTAAATATTTGATATAGTAAAAATAATTATACGTGTACTTGATATAGAATTGATGCGTTCAGTTCTCTGTTTTTCTGCAGAAGTTGACGAAAATGGAAGGATTTCGCAATATTATCTAACGTGTAGATCGAGTTCTGCATTCGTAAAATTTTCTTTTTCCACAACTCCGTTATATTAATTTATTCAATGTATTGCTTTGCAACTAACATTACGCAACCGAACGCGGATACTGAGATCTGCATGCGGAGGAACGCAATGATTTAGTTTATCCACAGAGTGGATATTTGTTGCACGAAATTGCAATCAAAGCATGGAAGCGATGCCGCTCCTGTGGCGATGAATAATCGCGGTACAATACCGTATGTGGATGATGATTAAACTTAACTGACTCGCGCGTCCGTCAGTAGTAACGGTTTCAAACGGGCCGACACAACGTGACCCACAAAAAATTCGTCTTTCCCACAGCAATCGTGCCCCTGACTGCGTCAAGAATGTCATCCCGGATGATTTTGATTTCCGTCTATACTTCACCCGTCGTTTATCTTTCAACTTGTTTTCAGAGCTCCTCTTTATATCGCCCGTCTCGAAGAAGCGATCGTATCCATCAAGATACTATAATTTATCATGCATCTAACATAACACCCGATTAAATTAATTTAATTTTTTATTTCTAATTCATCTGTCTGATTTGTCATTTTTTTTTATTTATTTTCTTTTGCATTCGCAGATTTTTTCTTCTTTTATGTAGTTTGCCTTTCCTTTCTACTGATTTCAACTGTCGTGTTGGCTTGATTGCAAAATTTAATTGCTTACGACAGATCTTCAGCAGATCTTATTCGAATAAAAAATTTCTATTTCATCTTTTTATAGATTTTTTATGAGCCGCTTGATTCACTGATTACAAATTGTGAGCGTAAAGTAAGTTAGTCTCGCAATCTTTTTTCGGTCCAATATCTCTTTTTATTTATACAATTTATACAAGTTATAAAAAAGTTTTAAAATGTCCTATCTTTTCTTATCAATAAAATAAGAAAAAATGTTTTGCAGCATTTGTTTGCTTTTTTAATTGTTTACGATATATAATCTTTAATATTTTACAATTATATATTTTTGTTAACATATGTAAAGCAGAACTTAATATATAACCTAATATATAATATAAATAAATGTGAATTGCCGTTTTTTTACAGGAATTCATATTAGTTAACGTAACTATGTAGCAATTGACAAATATAAAAAATGTTCATGTTAATATATATAACAAATAAACGTAACTTTTGTAGTACAAACAATAGGATACAAATATCTTCAATAATTATCGCGCGCGCACGAATAAAAATCTATTCATAAATTTATTATACGAAATTATAAACGTACTTAAATTTCTAATTTAAAGTATTTTATAGTAATGGATAAAAAAAATTGAAGATCTCCGCGCGCATTTAGAGAAATATCGCATCAAACGTAAAATTTTCATTGCAAAAGAAATGCTGTTAGGTAAAGAAAAATGATTTACAGAAATATTTTATTTACTCATGCAATATTGGATCGGCAATTTGTTGGACCATTACTCGAGAATTTACGATAAAACCACTTATATGTATCTCGAGGAAGCTGCGTGTGGGCACGGAATTCCCTGAGCAGTGACACCGACAATATTCTTGACAACCTTGAGCTTCCCTATGTCATGTATTTTAGCCTTGATGTTTTGTTTCTTCTGCTCATTTTCCAGAAAGGATTCTGCTATTCTTTTCACGTAACAAACATGGTATAGAGCGCAGTTCTTAGTTATATCGACGCATTAAATCACTAACAAGACGCAAGAGTTTAAAAAAGAAGTCACAAGCTTCGAAATAATCCTCTAAAATATAATATAACGATAAAAAAGAAATAGAAGAGCAAAATTAAATTAGATTGACAAACAATATAGTTAAGAAATATACAAAAAAGAGATTCTGATTTTTTTGCACAATTACAAGCTTTAATTTATGATATTTATTTACTCTATTTAATACATTCGCTCGACATAAATCTTTTTTCTGTCAGAGGAGGTATGAAATGCCGCATATACGCGAGAATATTGATCAGAATGAAAAAATAACTTTTAAATTAATAAGCATTTTCTCTTTTAAGTGGCGTAACGTGATTGTGCAGCAAATCGTGATTCGCATCCTTCATACGAATATGCGCGATAATAACACCCTTCCCACGGATCAAGATACACTCCGTTTTTCCGCCTTTCCTTTCCACAATGTAGAAATCATGAGCGATTATGCATACGTGATTTTTATTCCCTTTCAATTTCCGCGAGCAATCGCGGATCGCGGGAGAGACTCGGGCGTGCAATCTGTGATCGAATGTTAATATTGTAGTTAATATTGTAACAAAAAAGAATTTGTTCATGGTCGTCGATAGGAATAAACAACTGGCGATCATATCGGGATTGATCTTATGAGCGTATTCTCGCGGAAATCCGAGGATGCACGTAATTTTACGCACGTTTCCGTGTTGTAATGTTCACTTTTTTTCAACGTTTTCGCGGGCGAGTTCAATCAGATGTGTGTTAATCGAGTATCATAAAGTATTCTCGTAAAATATTTTTTTTGACTGAAATATCATTAATAAAATTCAGAATTCATCTATAACGAATTAAATAGTGTATATTGATACATAATGTTGAGATAACTAATTAATTAAAGTTTAACTATTAATTCATTGTTGATTTAATAGTTATTGATAATTGTAGTTTGCATTTATTGAAATAATCCGGATTCACTGAAATTGAAATATACTTCTTTAGAATTTTAGTTACGAGATACGTTAAAGGATAATTTACATAAGATACACGATGCATATTATGCAAAAATTTTATTTTTAGAAATTTATTCTGCGGACGAAGATACGACCACGAATAAGCGTATCGTGTTCTTTGCGGTTGCGGTCGTTTGACTACGCATTTCTTTTGCTTCGATGACACCCCTGCAGATCGCCTTACAAATACGTAGAAGTAATTGCATTTCAGTCATTTTTTTTCTGGGGGGGGGAGACAATTGACGAAGTGTTTCTCTCGTAAATATTTACGCGGCTTTACATGTAAATGAAGCTCGTGGTTATAAACGAAATTAAAAGTAACGACTGATTTAATTAAAAATTAAGTTACAGTAGTTACTTAAATGTAATGAATGTGTACATTTAATTTATGAAATTTAATGTATTTTTAATAAAATTTTATGAAAAGTACATTAAATTTCATAAATTTTCATTAAAAATATTATACATTAAATTTTATGTACATGTACACAAATATATTTTTTAATTATAAATACATTAAATTTAATATAATTTATAATAATTTATAATGTATTTGTAATGTCATGAAATTAATCCAATTGTGTAACTTAAAAGTTGATGAAATTTAAGAACATTTCTAACAGTGTAGTTCCAATTAAGCCATTCTATCATTAGTTGAACGTTCAGACTTCTCTCGTTTTTCTCAATCAACAAATCAATTATGTTATTCTAAATTTCGCATAAAATTGGAGAAAAATGCTTTGAGATATAAAGCGATGATTATTCTAAATTTCGCGTAAAATTGCTGAAAAGAAATGCTATAAGATATAAAGTAAAAAGTTGATTATCGGCGACATTGTCAGTAAAGCTTCTCTATAGTATTTGAAGAAAATAAGATTCCGCCATATAGTCTCTTTCATTTATTCCTCCCGATAAATCATTTGACAAACCGGGAATAGGTTTTCTCGTGAAGGAAAATGTAACGCGAACGTATTCGTTCTCGATGCTGAGGATGTCATTTTGAATAAATGACGCGTCGCGTTTTCAATATTTATGATAAGTCTATCAAGTGTCTCAAATAAGATTATAAATTAGTAATAAAGTTTCGTCTTTGGGGAAATCTAAAAACTATAAATTTATTCGACAATTTATTCTTTCTCTTTTTCTTAAGAAAATTTTTTCCCACTTTCTTGAATATTTTCTTAAATTAAACATTTCAAATAAAATTAGAAAAAATATACTGCTAATATAATTTCATTAATTAGTAAAAAGAATATTTAATTAATTAGTAGAAAAAGTATTTAATTAATTGTAAGAGATTTAGATTATACGGAAAGTTCTGCCATACCTTGCATTTTATTTTTTATGTAGATATATATATTCACGAACATTTGATTTAATTCTTTTTTTCTCATATGAATGAATGGCAATCCATTTCCACTTCACACTAGTAAGTGATAAAGATCAATGACCAGAGCGAACGTGTTCGCATCTTTTCACTTTTTATTCGTGTTAAGTGCAACAATTCGCGATGGAGATTTATTAATCGTTATTCCTAATTGTAACTGACATTCGCTGATGAATTGACAAATTAACTGCAATAATGTATTCCGTTAAAAAATAATAACTTTGTCGTAATTCAATTCTGTTACAAAATTTCTATTTTTTTTAGTAAGCACAAATTTAAGAGGCACTTTTCTTGTATTGGACAAATTTAAGAGATTTAATTCGGAGATAAAGTTTTAACAGATCGTTTAAGATAAATTTAAATATAACATGCGTTAATTTACACATTAATCATGTCGACACATGGATCAGTGGAAAGAAGATCGTCGCAGACCGAATGGAAACGTCGATGTGAGACCGCTCGCGAGTCAAAAGCCTGATGGCAATCACGCTTCATTGTGAACAAATGTAATTTAATAATGTGACAACTGGCCACCACAACAGCATAATTCACCGATGGGGGGATAACGGGACGAAAAGAAAGGCAAAGGAAGGAAAGACAAAACGAGTGGGCGAAGGGAGAAGAAAGAGGAGGAAACACAAAGCAGCGCTCGAAGGGGAAAGGGCGAAAGGGGAAACGGAGTCTCGCGATATTTCTGCGAGATGTTGCATCAGTCTCCTGACATTTCTTCTTCCTTTTGTTCTACGCGAATCTGTCAAGGACATAACTCCGAGCAGCGCGAAATCTTCTTGCCAAACTCTGCGTCAAAGGAATGAAATCCTTTATTGACGAATTAATATTAGCATTGTGCCTCGTGCAAATCGAGCATTCACGATGAGATTGTCCTGTGTATAATTCCTCAATGAACGAGGAAACAAAGAGGCTGAGGCAAGCAGGCAGAAGTATAATAGATATCCAATTGAAAAGCAAAATAATCGATATGTGTGATATAAATATGTTTGTTTTATTTTTTTATAAATCATATTTTCAACCTAAAAATATAGGAAAATTCTTTTAATTAGTAAAATTTAAAATATGATGAAAAATTTATCTGTAAAAATTTAGAAAAGACTGTAATCAAAGTTATTACAATTATAGTTAAACTAAAGATTTATAATTTCTTTTTGTAAAAATCAACGTAAAATCATGATGATTATTATAAAAACTACTTTAAAAATTATCACACTTCCGCTGTTGTTCAACTTGCACCAATAAATTATACCAATGAATTCATATAACGATTTTCATTTTTGCGGAATCGTTAATAGACAAAAAAAAAAGAAAACCGATTGCAAGTGTTTTCCCTTACCTTATAAATTAGAGTAAATTCTATTTTTCTAAAATAAGTTGATAATTAACATATATCCATTCTATTCGATAGATATTGATAAAGTAATGAAATCGTGTGTGCAACCAGTTCGATTAAAGCTAGATTTAAAAAACGGCCTCTCTTTAGTATAAAATTACAGCGAAAGGTCGTATAAGTATTTCAAAGTGAACGACACATGTAATACCGAGTGGCATTCGTGACTACACATAACTCTTAATTAGATTGACTTAGTTTCACTCGTGCGTAATAGGTTCATATATCACACCTGTGAACAATGTATCATGTGTTGAAAACTAAGTAATTTGATTACCTCACAATAGAGATATTCACAAATTAACATAAGAGATGTCTTTTTAATCTTGTTCTTAATTAAAGAAATTATATACGTCTTGATTGAATACGTCCTCTGTCGCATGGTAATTAATTCGATTATTTGCATTGATTGTTTCAGGTATTCTCGCTTTCATAAATTGCTGGGATGTCAAATGGGCGACGAGAGTGCAGGACATCTTCACGTATGCGAAATTACTCGCACTTTTCATAATAATCTTCACCGGAGCGTATCAGCTTTGCACTGGTGAGTCTGTCCATTATTGTAATTATACAATAACAAGATAAAATTCTGCACACGATACTTAATTTGTAAGATAAACGAGTTTGGAAAAAAATTAACAAGAAATAAAGACTAAGGAAATTATACATTTAAACATATTAATGTGTTAAAATAACACGCTTAAATTGTAAATTAATCACGCTTTAAAATAAATCTACAATGCAAAATATTCAATCTAAAAAGATAATAAATTCTATTATTAAAAAATATAAACATATTATAAGATACATATTATATTGTAATACACATATTATATTTATATTTTAAAATATAAGCAATAATATAATTCGGAATAAAATAAAATACCTAATATCTTTATGTCACGAAATATTCTTACAAAGACAGAATTAGACATTTTTTATCCAATATCTTCGAAGTAGTACGCGAGATAAATTAATAATACAAAGTGAATAGACTTGCTAGAGTGCATTATGAGGTGAAAGGTCAACGACATCACTCGATCGCGTGCAGTTTGCAGCGATTTGCAACGATCCCGAGCGATGTTAATCGCCACGTGATCACGTTCTTCGTTTTTCGTGCATCGTGAACTTTTCTCGTTCCTTAACCAGCAATGCGAACATTTTCACGGAACATCGAGACACCGAGGTTCTCGGTATAATGTATATACAATACTTTCAACAAGTCGAAAGAATCGTTCTTGTGTCAGACAGACTTTCTCTCCGTAAATTGTCTAACTTAATCGATCGATAGTTCTAACGTTTTTTTTAATACATCGCGCGATCGTATCTCCCGTCACTTCTTTCATTCTTGCCGACATCGAAGAATAAAATTATGAAGTGTATATAATAAATTAATTAATTCGATCGATATTTTTAATTATTATTATTATTATTATTAATCAACATAATAAATGTATAATTTTAGTAGCAATCAATTTTTAATATTTCCTTCAAAGATATGGAATAGAAAAAATATTAAATTTCATAAAACCGTACACTGTTAGAAATGTTCTTAAATTTCATTAAATTTTAAGTTACACAATTTTAAGTTACTTAATTTCATGATATTACGTTAAATTTATTAAATATATTTATAACTAAAAAGTTATTATATTTGTGTACATATACATAAAATTTAATGTATTTTTTAAAATTTATGAAATTTAATGTATACGTTCATTACATTTAAGTAATTACTGTAACTTAAGTATTTTCAGATATATTAAGAAATCATTCATTACTTTTAATTTCGTCCATAACCACGAGCTTCATTTACATGTAAAGGAAGCTCGTGGTTACATTTCTAACAGTGTACATACATGTGAGAACATAACTAATAGGAAATAAATGCATTTATAATGACCTAGCTAGATCTTAAGTGCTTGTATAATTCTGTGTGAATTTATGTATTACGTATGCAATCCTTCAAACTGTGCACCGAAATAAGTTTTCAATCTTGAAAACGCAAACTCTACTAAACTACTAGTAATCATCAGTAATATCACGAGTTAAATTAACCAGTAATTTAACATCTCTTTCGATGCTTTTACGCATCTTAATAATGCTGAATGACATATTAAAATCTGTAAATAATTAATATGTATTGCAAAAAATATTATCTCGGCCGAGATTCGAACTCTGATCTCTAGCATTCCATGCGAACGTCCTTCCGAGAAAAGAAAGATATGAAAGATGTAAAAAAAATATGGAGCTAAGAAAAATTCTTGTAAGCAACCTGCAATTAAATTAGCATCAAGAATGATTCAGTCTCAGATTGTAATTTTGAAAAAATCATCTTCATACATAATCTATATAGGAAGATGTTTTTTTTTTTTATAAGAATCAACCGTCCAACGGAAGTTACTTAAACGTTTTTTCAACATCGTATGCTTCCCGGACGAGACAATTTACCCAATCAAAAAGGTGCGCAGGCGATGCGATGTAGTCGGTGTGCGTGCAAGGAATCGCTTAAATTGGACTATTCAACGAAGCAAATGGTTCCTTGACCATGGTATGCGACAATCATCTCAATTCTGACGAAACTTTTCGTCCGATCTTACACGCCACTGAACTTCACGCTCGCCTTTCGTTAACGATCCCTCAATCCAGCCTCATTCATTAAAGGATCAATTAAAAAGAAATTCTAATTATGAAATACAAGAAATCGAAGTGTCAGCGAGATATTGTTACTAAAGTCAGCGGCATAGTCACAACATAGTCAGCGGCATAGTCACGCTTGTTTCTTTGCTGGATTGCTAACTGGATTAGATTCTTGCTATCATGTATCGGTTGCGATGCTGGCATTGTCAGAATCGCAGCCAATACAAGATTCTAATCTAGCTAGCAATCCAGTAGAAAAATATGCCTCCGGTTTTAGACATTGTAAATAGATATCGTTTTGTGATTACGTTTTTACGTAATGTACTTAAATAAATTAAAGAAAAACGTTAAAAATTGATTACTAAAATTATACATTTATTATTAATATTGATTACTAACAATATTAATAATTAATTATTCTTATTTAATAGAACAATAATTTTTCGATATTCATGATCTTTATGTTTTATTTTCCTAGGACATACACAGTATTTTACGTTTGACAACAGCAACACGGAAGTCACGTCTATAGCACTCAGTTTTTATTCAGGCCTGTTCGCTTACAACGGTTGGAACTACTTGAACTTCATAATTGAAGAACTGAAAGACCCCGTTAGGTGAGAACTAAGCCTGTCGCGCAATAAATTAAACGCGATTCAGAGGAAGTTCATAACTGAACGTTAATTCAGCGACAATAGCCGCTGCAGAAAATTTATGTTACTCCTGTACGCTTATAACCGTGTATTTATTTAGGAATCTACCGAAGGCCATCGGCATTTCGTGCACTCTCGTTACGGTTGTCTACGTCTTTACGAATATGGCCTTTTACACTACTCTTAGTCCCGTCGAAGTGCTCGGTAGCGAAGCTGTGGCGGTGGTAAATAACAACAAATATACTTTTCCAATAAAAAAAAAAGGAGTCTTTTAAGAATTTTAGAAGAAATGTAATTTAAAATATATACAAACATTAAATCTTCCTTTAATATAATCAAATAATAATTTCTATCTGTACATTCTAATCATTATAAATGTTCATATTTATTCTAGTCTCTACATTTGAAAATAAGTAATATTTATATATTACTTGTACTCTAGAATCATTTTATCTTTTTTGTATTAACCGTATTAAAATTAACTCTTATCTACGTGTGTATGAACTAATAATTTTCTAAAATTTTCTAATTAGTTAATTGTTTAAAGCTCCTAAACTGCCTTATTGTTAGCAGACGTATAATTACTTTGTTACCTAAAGCTCTTGTCTTTATTTGGCAGACATACGCAAACAGATTGTTTGGCGTGATGGCGTGGACGATACCGGTTTTCGTAGCTCTATCTACATTTGGCGCAGTTAACGGCATTTTACTCACGTCCTCGCGACTTTTCTATGCGGGTGCCTGCGAGGGTCAAATGCCAGAGATACTGACAATGATCCAAATTTCCAGACTGACACCTGCGCCCGCTGTAATTTGCATGGTAAACTGTTCTTCTCTCCAATTCGAAAGCTTCTTAATTTAGAAAAAAGAATGTATATATATATAAATCGACTGAAGACTATGATATTAATTGGTGATGTACTATTACGTCATGTAAAATGCATTCTATCAATAACATAGTAATTCTTTCCCAATTCACAGATACGTAAAATCGTATTTTACATATCTGAATTTTATTTGTAAGATAATACTTAACTTTTGAAGAATTTATCTTTAAATTATTAAAGATTAATATTAAAGTTATTAATTTTTAACTAATTACTTGTTAATTTTATATTAACCTAATAAATTAATTCATAAAATAGAGAGATATATGATTTCCTTTCAACAATTGATTTCAATTCGATTTGTTATCTTATCTTTATATCGCGAAACAACACACACAAAATTTTCACGTACAAATCAACCCTTCATGCCTGTTGACCAACTTGATTACTGTTAGACTCAATAAACACATGAGCGGACAATTTAACGGACAAATTGTTTCCATTGTCAAACTTGTTGCGGTGGGCAAATTTACTTTGTCAGAATTAGAAAAGGCACTCTATCATAAGCATGGACCCTTAATTGAAAACACAATCTTTTTCCAGGCCTTATTATCTATGGTGTACTTGTGCTCTTCCAACATTTTCCGTCTTATCAATTATGTCGGCTTCGCCACCTGGGTACGTACGATTTTTACGTTTGTCGGATAACGAAAATAAATTTTGCGTAATAATGTTATGATATCAAAGAGATACCGTTTCGTGAACATGACTTCAGATTTCTTTTTTCCATTAATTAACACGAAGTAAATGACCTTCCCGACTTTGTTATATGAATGATACCTCGTCATTCGAAGGTCGTGTAACGTAATTATAGTGCGACCACTAAATATTTCTTAGAAGCTTATATATATATACTCGCCCGCGATTAATTAGCTCAATTGGAACAACAATAATTTTCCAATTAGCTGATCACTTGACGCAATTGAGTTATGAATTTGCAGTCGATTCTTGCATCTGTATATATATTTGATTTCTTTTCGATAATTCTTTCAACACGCGTATTTTAATTCTAAGCGATAACATAACTTTTAATTTCGCGAAATATATTATATATTTGTACATTATTAAATTAGAAAAAATAATATGTGATTCTTATAAAATTATAATTCCTAACTTTCTAATTGTTAACTTAAATAATTTCAACTTTAATCCGTTATATCTTAAAAAATTATGATATCTCATCAACAATATTATTTTTAGCAAGTATTTGAAATATTTCTACTTTAATAATAAATTATTTTTTTATGCTTTAATAATAAATTATACGTTATTATTTTAATTATATACAAGTTCTTTAGATTTTATAGATTTATAATTTCCATTTATATTGGGTCATCTAAAAAGTATCCGCGGTTTTTTGTCACTAGATGTGTGTTGATGGTCATATATCTAGTGACAAAGTACTATACTTTTTAGATGACCCAATATTTAGCACAATTTAATTCAACTTGTAGCTCAGCATAGGCGTCTCCGTGTTGTGCCTTCCATGGCTCAGGTGGAGCCAGCCGAACTTGTTGAGACCGATCAAAGTGAATCTCATTTTTCCGATCTTCTACATCCTAGCCACTCTCTTCGTTACGATTGTTCCGATGTACGCGAGTCCCGTTGAAACTGGTGAGCATCCGTCATATTATTAACGATTCGTGATATGATTGTGTAAAAATTAATATCTCACAAAAGCAATTCTGTTTTAGGATACGGTTGTCTAATGATATTTTCCTCCATACCTGTCTACCTCCTATTTATCTCGTGGAAAAACAAACCGAAATTCTTTCAACAAAAAGTCGGTAAGTCTAACAAACGTAACATGATATTCTACATAATATATTATAAACTTTGATCAATATTAACATATCGAGCATTTATAGACACAATGTCGGTTGTTAAAAAATATTAAATATAAACTTCCTTCGCTTTATTTTGTGAAAATGTATTAAGACATTGATCACATATCATTTTTAAGAATAAAACTGAAAGATAGAGAAAGAGAGGAAGAATATCACAAAAGAGCTCTAAATTTACTTTAGTCAAAACCACAGAGTGATTTTTAATAAGACATGCGTTCATTACCTGGTTTTAATTCATAAGTTAAGGAGTTATCTTTACATGTGGTGGTGAACGATTTTTCTTTTATTTCGTTTTTATTCTATAATTTATTTATTCCCACAGGCGCCGTCACCCAAAGTTTGCAGAAGATGATGGTAGTCGTGGGGCCACAAAAGGCAAAGGTTCAGAACACACAGTAACATAATTTTACTCTTGTCATGTCACGCATGCTTAGCACTCATATATTTTCTTTGCTTTCTATTTTTCGTTTTATCTGATTGGAACATTTGCTAGGATTATCTCATCTTTCAAAATTGCTCTCGATTCATGCATGCTTCTAATTGTTACCACAATTTCTCTTCGCTCTATTGTACATTTTATCGCACTATCTTAATTATTAACTATCTTCTATTGTATTATATATTATAACAATATTGTATAATTTATAAGCTTTCAAAAATAAAAGTTAAATTTTTGCTTGCCTGTTCATCTCGCTTATCATTTCTTCGATTTGGAAATCAGCATACGACTGTTTTGATGCACATCGATGATTTTGTTCAAATCGTATAATCTTTTTAATTATTAATTTTCTAAAATCTTGACACATCCTTTTCAAATTTGAAGAGTTTAACGTCGTTTTAGTCGGCTCGTAAATAATTAATTGAGTAATTGCTGGCGCTTTCACTTAAGTTAACTAGGACATTATTGAGATTTGATTTTGCACGTCACACACATCGACACCACAGATACACTCAAACATGATACACATTCAAACATACCAAATCGAATCTCTCTCAAAGAACCCTAATATCTCAGATATTAACAACAGACGCGATTGATCGCGTTTCCTTTGCTAGACTCACACTTGCATCCAATGACCTCGGGTTATCGTGGTTATCACATTTATAATATCTCGCTTACTCTTGTTACAGTAAACACCACAAGGCGGTTGCAGAAGATAATGCTAGTAGTCGGCAAGGCGAAACCCGCTCAGGTATAAACAGTCAAGACGAACCGGATCGAAATCAGAACGATGAAGACGAGGCTTTTCCGGAATCGGAAGACGCAGAGGATTTTTGTCGATCTTCGAGTTATAATCGCTTCCTTCTGCCGGGAAAAAATGCGATTGGGAGCGAGATTGGTTAGCACATCGATTCCACAGGATCGACGGTATTATTCTCTTGACTCTTCTGGATTGAAGAACAAGCGTCCTAGAACAAGAGGCAGCCATATCTACGTGTTAGGACGCCAAAAAAATTAAGGCGAAACGGTTCGTCTTCCAGATTCGGATCTCGTCCTTGATGAACTCCCGTCAAGACGTGCCCGCCCAAATTTCGAAGCAAGGCTGTTATTTCTCGTTCGATTTCACGGCAAAGAGATATATGCGATGACACGCCTGCACGCTTCTGAATTCATTGATTTTACTAGACAGTTAGCGTCAAAGTCTTCATGTTTTCACAAAGATAAATATATAACTGATTTTGTATTGGTACTGTTAGTAACAACTACAATGCCATTATTTTTCTTTGCAGATAACACTTAATAATTGTAAATCTTAATAATTTGCTCGAATAGAATAATTATAAAGAAATTTGTAAAATAAATATTGCAATCCAAATAATCCAAAAACGTTATATTTCTGGATTATCTGGATAAAATAATTGATTATTTGAATGTTTCGGAGATACGATTAACTCACTGTGTCAGCGAATATCGCTACTATTACGAAGCGTTATTAAGAATGTATTTTAAAAATACTAATTACATCATGTTTGTAAATTTGACATATTTAAATATCGAGATTTATCACTGGTAAAATTATTTTCTATCACAATTATATTTGATTTATTTCTTACAAAGATTAAAAATAACAAACATGTAGAGCGTTAAAAATTAAAAAAATTTTGCAAAATAAATTTTAATTTTAAAAATCATAATTCTAATTATATAAGGTGACTCAAAGTCGTTGAATCAGCTTTTTACTTATGAAAAAATAATTGCACACGTTATAATACAATTAGATATGAAGTCGATAATTTTCTCATAGGATAAAAAGTTAATTCAACGACTCTGATTCACCCTGTATATAATTTAAGAAGTTTAATTTTTAATTGATCTTAAATGAAGAATACATGTGAGCGAATTACATTATGCAAGCCTTCTTCCCCAAATTAAATTAATAAATCCATAAATTGTTGTCAATGAATTAATGCCTTTGTAAGCCATGCACTGGATCTCGGTTTAGCATAGAAGGAAAATCTCCTTCTAAGCTCCATAACAATGTGATGTACAAATAAATTGAGGGGTGTGTCATATGTGAGTTAGACGAACAGAACTTTGAAAACGAGGATAGGTGAACACAAAAATCATATAAATTGGAAAACACAATAGTTCTGTAATTACGAGGACTATCGCTTAGAACATGACATCAATTCGATTGGAATAACATACAGATTCTTGATAAAGAAAGAATTTTAAATAAAAGGCTTATTTCGGAAATGATTTTCATTCGCAAATAAAAAAATAGTTTAAATTTACATACTGACACTGAATTGTTAGACAGCGCTTATGACAACCTATAGATTAATAAATAAAACTTCCTCTCTTCCGTTTTCTTTATCTATGTTTGGTTATTTTACCGATACATATTGTCTTATTTGTTAGATGAATTATAATTATCGTTTTGTTAACATGTCATTCTCTCATTACCTTTGAACGAAACTCATGTAAGTTAAATTAAATTTTACATATGTTAATTTAAATATTAAGCAATATTCTGAGTTTATTAGTAATATATTGTAATGCTTTCATTTGTTATTGTATCATGAAACACAATTATTTCATGAAGGTAAATTTCTGACATTGAAAAAGATCGAAACGTTTGGAGTTTGTATGAGAGATTAAATATTAAATATTAAAGAAAATACTTCACACCGAGATCCAGTGCATGGCTTACAAAGAACTATTCATTGATCGATTCATCTCAAAGGAGCCTTAATTCGAAGTAACTCTATTTATATGGTCCATAAATTGTTACACGCGATTTTAATGTATACCTACTATGAATCGAATATATAATCGCGTGATCAAAGATATGTATATACTTCTAAATAGCCTACAAGCAATACGTATCATATTTGAGATGGTGAAGGAGAGAAATGGTTGCGACCGCGGGTCTCATCGCGATTATATCTTTCGCCGTGCAAATGAAATGTGCTAGAACCAACGGAGGAGTTGAATTAAAAAATCCGACCGACGTGCCAAAAAGTTGAGGTAACGATCAAGTGTCACTATAATTAATTAAGCACTGTTTAAGCTGTTAGTCTTATAATTAGTCTTAGCGTTCGTTCGATGGGCGATGTTTGCTGTCTATGTGTATATCATGATCCTCGTTATCTCAATGCCGTTGTAGTTTTGGCACTCGGACGCGTTTGTAATTGAACTCTAACCGAGAATTGTCCGTTCAAACTGACGAACATTTCATATATTTACCGCTTCATTTCGTTCTACACATCCGCGATCCGTTCCGTTTTAGATTAAAACTAGGGATGCAACATCCGGAAACGATATTACTTTAACATCCGTGAAAAGTACATTTTTTGCAAAGATAGCTTAATACGTTATCGTTTTTCAATTATCGAATAATCAAAACGTGTTGCAAACTCGTTTTAAGAGAAAAGACTCGCTTTTAAGAGAAAATTATTACAGAAGAAATAACGAAAGAACTGTGATGTTAAATGTAGATACTAACAGCTAACATATATATATATTTTCATCTCTCGCATATTTTTATGATTTCATTGAAAATGCTTATAATAAGAATCTTCACAGAATATACTATAGAGATTTTGTAATGCTATTTTATGAAAATTTTACGAGAAAGTAGATCGAGTATCTCATGAAAAAATATTATGGAATATTTTACGGAAGAGTGCGATTTCAAGCAACATGTGTTGTGATTGTTGCAAAATTGTCTTAGTATCGTATTGTAAGAAATACAGAATATTTTGATATATCGTTAATATCTTGCATCCCTAATAGAGATCTATACGCACGTATGTGCGGAGATTTAACTCTTCGTTAACGCATTTTTAACGCGTTATCTTTTGCTTTTATTATTAAATTAAACCATTAATTCCTAATTTTCATTATCAATTTTGCGATTTGTTGCGTTTGAAATGAGAAAACGAAGAGTTAAAAGCGCATTTGTTACGCGCTGGCACTTGATTGTCAACGTCGCATAATACTTTTTATATTTTACTGCCACAGGTGATAAAATGCATATGTGTGTGCGTGTGTGTATGCGTGCGTGTGTGTAATTCTGTCAAAACGGCAACAGTAAAAAAACGGCTCTTCAAAGACATTCCATTTACGTTTAATACATGCTAAGGAGAAAAAGTGATGTGTGCAGGCAATTTAAAGAATAAGAAGACGAGCTTCGCATTTGAAAAAAATAATTTTTAGGAGAGTTTGTAAGCTCATGCGCACTTTCAAAAATTTCTAATAATAAAACAAAAAAAAATATCACATACAATTTATTTTTTAAATTTAATGTTGTAACTTTATGATTATTTAATGTAATACATATTTAATATTATTTAAGATAATACATATTCTTTTTTTTTGACAAATTATTATTTGTTAAATTATTTTTTCTGTCTCTCCAATCTTTTTATCTGGTCTGTGTTGAAAATCGCATGAACTTATAAACGTATTTTAATTATAATTACCAAAAAAATATCATTATTAAATTTCTAAAATCTTCATCTATCTCGATATTAATTAATAAAAAAAAGAAGTTTCGCCCGCCATTGATGCCATCAAAATGTATTTTTATTGACAAGATTAAATGGTGTGTACGTTGTTCGATTTTTGAATGCATCTGTGTCTCTTAAAATGTTGTGATTATACTTAAGTCTCGATTTTTTCGTGTATGAATAATAAGGCTTAAAATGCTCGGAGCAATGGGTGAATTTCGACAGCTTCAAAACTCGCCATTTCTTTTCTTAATTATTTTGGCAAAAAGTTTTCTTTATTCAATTTAATTAACGACATTATTATTACATATTTTATTTTTCCTTAGACTTTCATTTTTAAGAACGGAAAATAGTCTTCGGACCAGAAAATGACACCGTTGCACATATCTTTAGCAGAGTTGTTCTAGGACCAAAAGACGTGTTTTTAATATTAATGAACCGAGATCTTGCCTAATTGAAAGATTATCCTAAATGTTATTCCTACGTATGTAGCTTTAGTTATCGCAATATCGAATTTAAGAGGCAGCTCGGCGATTCGTTCGCCCTCTCTAAAAATTAGATATACTTAAATTAGAAAACATATAGTTGTGACATTTTTACTACAATAGCTTTTGTAGCATAAAGTAAAGCTGTTATCGTCGTGATTTTTCTCAGCATACAAGACAATAACTTTCTTTTGCGAACTTGAAGATGAACGTATATTTGTAATCGAAAAGCGAATCGTTGATGCTGCTCTCTCGCAGCAAGTGATAATTTTATAATTCTTCATCGTTTTAACTATATTTTTATGAATGTTTCGAGAATCATGAATACTCATCAACATTCTTCAGGATGCCTGCAAGCGCGGAATTACGTAAAATACTGAACTACCGGACCTTGTAATTACGTTAGTAAAACGCATTTTAAATAAACGTTCTCGATTATGACAAATATTTAAAATTTTATGCCACTTATAACTTATTTTTTATTAAATGTTGATCGAATATATATATATATTTGAGAAATCTTTAAATTAATAATTATCAATGTCATTATTAACCAGAATAAGGACAGTTTATAAAAAAATAAGATACGACGCTTTTAATGAAACTTTAAATAATCATTGTAAATTCATCGATTTTGATAGAAAATTTTAATATTAGATATTATAATAAACCAGCAGGCATTCTGACTCGTGACAATAAGATATCGATATGAATTGGTAAAATTAGGTGAGAAAGAAAGCGAGAAAGCGAGTAAGAATATTATTAATATTATGAATGTATCTTTTGTATTAATTTCTGTGTTGAAATGTGTAGGAGTGTGTTCGAATCGATTTTGGAATCATCTTATCGAATATAAAGCATCACTTTCTCGCGTTACAGATTAAACAATCATGCGAATTAAGAACTGTAGCTTAGGATCTGAGCACGTAAAAAGTAAAAGGAAAAGAAGAAAAAATATATGTATAAAGCGCGAAATGTGACAATATATATATATATATAATTATTGTGTAAATACCTGTACATTAATTATGCAACCCTCTCGCTCGTAACCAAATAAAATCGATCTTGTCGAAATCGCAGAAATTTAGCTGTGACATTTGGCGAACCATCTTTAACTGCGAAAGGAAAGAAGATAATAAAAAAACATTAACAAGATCGAGTCCGATTATATACGTCTCTATATTTGCATGTGTATAAACATATAAGTTATAAATACAGTAGATATCCGCGTATTTATAACTTACACACGATAATATATATATTATCGTGTGTAGTAAAACTATAAATATTATACATATAAATATATACATATATATTGATATATGTATAATATTTAGTTTTTCCCCATAATCGTACAACATATCGAAATTATAAAAAAAAAAAAACAAAAAAAAAACAAAGAAAAACAGGAATTTTTGGCTTTTCGAATAAAACGCTATTTTATATTTTCCTGTTTGGGGCTTTTTTCCCGAAGATTGTCGATCTGCGAAACGAATCAAGATATCATCGGTCTACTTAAAACTTACTTAAAACTCCGCGTTAAAAAGCGTTCCGAAAGCATGTAACTTCGCAGGTCGCTAAAGTCGTGTAGTGAAAAACATCGAAATCTGTCGCGAGGATTCTACAAAAAACGAATTGATACAAGTGTGTCAAATTCCGTATCAATCATCGTCTGACGATCGTTCATTCGGCAATAATTCTCCGATTTTCCTTCTCTGGAACCGATTAAATCGAAAGAATGCAAGCGTAGAAATGATATTACGCATAGTCATTAATTAATGAGCTTATTAAACGTTTTAAATTAATAATTTTTCGCGCTCTTAATTGAGCTTTCGGTTGCTACAACTTGTGTTTTCGTCATTTTCCGCGAGACTTGCGGTACAACAATAAATTAAACGCTTATAAATGCGTTTTCGCGCGGAAGTTTATTGAAACTCACTTGGTTAAAATATCGCACGCTATAATCTACAGGACGACGTCACGATAATTACATATTAACTCTGAGGCGAGCTGATTTGCGACAGTCTCCCATTGCAACAATATGACAATTGTTAATAAAGGACCGGGCGCTTCGAGTGTCACATTACGCGGTACATAATGAATAACTATAAAATTAGAATTGTGCGCGCAAAGAGGAAGGTAAATCTAAAATCTTTGAATAAATTTGTAAAAGTTAGTTTTTGAATAATTTTATATAGCGATCATTAAGAAGATCGTCCTTCAATAATCTTGTAATTGCATTATTTCCGTCGTTGAAAAACATATCGCGGTGTCACAATTATTCCGGTGGTCTCTGGATCGCTTATATATATATTACTGGTATTGTTATTACGCGTTAACATCACCGTGATAAGTCAATCAACGTATTATCTCCATTATCTTGGCATGGCAAATACGACATAACAACGAAGTGCCGAGGCGTTTATTATAGCTGTTGATGGCAACAAACGTTGAAGACGAGAGAGGAAAGATGAATGGGGAGACGAGATATAGATACGTACAGCGATAATGTCGCTTCAACAGCATGATTTTTCGCAAATTTCTCATTCACCCTAAACCGTAAAAATAATATGTAAAATAACACGAGCAACAAGTGTAAAATTTTATAAGAGAAGTGTATACAATTATAATTTATATCCATCATACGTGTAATGACGTGTAATTTTACTCCTGTAACACTATACGTGTAATTTTACGTATTGTTTTTACAGTGTACAAAACATACATTTACATCCGTGCTTAATTAGTCCTTATCAATATTATTATTAATATTATTATGATTATCACTGACGTATTTATACAGAACAGTCAGCCTCTTCATGTAATGTTACTCATATAATAATATAAGCGGGAAGTCGATGTGATAAAAGACGAATCGTCATATCCGACATTACCGTTCACCTCTTCCGGTATACGTATATGTGTCGCGTGCGATATCAATTTAAAACTTCGCTACTTATCGTCTCTTTATGCTAATGACAGTTCTCGATTTCTCTCATTTAACGAATCCCATCTAATGATGCGCAAAATTACGAGACAGACATTGTACAGAAAAAAATACTCGAATGAGATATATAAAATATAACAATAATAGGCGATAATTTTTTTTCGTCTACTTATTATCAATCGATTCTAAATTACATAGCACATTTGGAGACCGCGCGATACTCAGAACTGTCACGCCACTGAAATAACACGCATAAAATCGGACGACGGTTCTTCCGAGTAATATTTACCTCTTTCGCATTCTGCAACATCAGCATTCGCTTCCTGCATATTTACGTTAATTGTCTTCGATTTGATAATGATGGAAGCATGCCCCTGAGTATTCCTAGCTCGCTTCGCAAAATTCTCTCTCGTTCACGTCTAATAGACACGAACAAGCGGTATACTTATCTAGATATTTAGCTTATCTAGATGTTTAGCTAATTTTTCTTTTCGGATTCTTCTCTCACTCCGTAACACGAAGATGCGTTACACGCGTCGTATAGGATGGAATGAACTATCGAACGATGATTATAACGCGACATGGCGAATATTAACGCGGAGGAAATATCCATCACTTAAGCCGGTAATTTAACGTTACATAATTATTAGTCAATGATCACTTTATCATCGATGGCCATTATTCGCTTAGATCTGGCTTAGAGAATTCATATTTGAATAATTATGTAATAATCAGGAACGGAGTTATTTAATGATCCGAAGTATGATTTCGATGAGATTTTATATATAATGACAGAAAATATTATTATATATATGAATAATATTGATCAGAGAATATCCTTTATGATTCATATATGCTTCGAATTTTTGGATCAGATTAAATAACTATGTTTCATATACATTTATCCTCCGCCTCTCATCTCACATATACATTTGCGTGCGTGAATTTCTATGAATTAGATAGGTAATCTCATAAATAAAATGTTTACATAGATCCATAATTTAAATACGAATTGTGCAAGAGAAACACATACTATTTGCAAAAGTATATTCAGCAATCTATCGTATATGTATGTATAACTATCTATCTACGCTACATACACAGACAGAAAAATATATATATTTTCTATGGGAATAAGAGAGTATTACGCGCTTATTTCTCCTTAGAAAAATTATTAAATAGTTTGGTATTCTTCTTGTGAATATATAGTAGTTGGACATCATTATCTACAAGTAGATCTCGCGACGGATCTCGTTAGAGCCAGATTTCTCTTATCCATGTTTTTATAAATAATGTGAAATGATAGGTATGTCTTATAATAAGAGAAATAATATAAAATAATGTAATAAGAAGTAATTAGAAATAAGAAGCTTTAAAAATATTTCTAAAATATTCGATATAACAAAATTAAACAGGACACTTTGAAAAATCACAGTTAAAAGATATATGATTCTCTATACTGAATAGCGAACTCGTGCGTTGCCAGCAAAGAAAATGAAGACTACAAATCGATACGTTAAAAAATTCTATAAATTGTACGTTCTTCGCTAATTTTGTTAGCAATCTAATGTCATTCAAGTATGTCTGCGCGAAGGTAAATAAATTACAAATGGGCAGGAATTCATTTTTGTGAAATTAAGTAATAATTAAATAATTTACGATTTGTTGTACACGTAGATCGCGTAAATTATTAAATATATTGGTCTCGAAGATTACTTTACACATTTCTTTTTTTTTTTTAACAAAAGTAAGGATTTTTTTTGCTTTTTTTTTTGTTTGGCAAATATAATACTTTCGCATTCGCGTCGGGAGAATTGCGATTTGTGCGACATAGTGACTATCTTGGGGTTTATCCGACAAAAAGTGATCTAGATCGTTAAGTCATACTATCCCCTTTTTTACTTTATCGCAACACCAATCTCGAACAGTTGCAGATAGATTAGTGTTTCTCACATACATTATGTGCACACGATACATGTACATACTGATGATTAGAGGCCAAAGATATAGACGTCAAAGAAGTTTAATTACTTGTTAACCATCATTCAGTCAATCATCGTTCCGCTAAACATATATTTTCCTATGCATTATTACGCGGATGTTAAGAAATGAATGTCAAATGTCAGCCAAGTGTCAGAAATAATATTTTGAGTTATAAAAGAGAGAGATTTTAAATCCACAATTTGTGGAAGTCACTTATTAAATTTGTGTATTAAATTCTCTGTACAGAAACTCAAATAAAATAACATTGTTTTTCTTAATATTTTTTAAAAATATATGTCAATATTTAAAAAAACTTTTTATTTATATTTAATATGTGTAGTATTTTAATATTAATAAAAAATTTAATATATAAAATATATACACATATTAGAAATCAACTTTTCTGACACTTATTTGACGCCATTCTTCAACTATTCCTGTAAATTAAATCTTGCTAAATTTATCATAATTACAATAAAAGATAATTTACAGAGCTATACGCAGTTATGAAGAGAAATTTGTTCGGGGTATTGTTCACATGGCGATTGTTAGGCGTAATTTATACGTCTTATAAAATATTATAACAATATCATAATTAATAGTATATAACAATTAAATTATACAATTTATATTCAATTCATTAATTTAGCAAAATAATTGTGATAATAAATATAGAATCTTTCATTCAATCCACGAAAATTAATCTAAGTTTCTGCTTATCGATTCGAAGAATTCAATCTTAAAAATCTCGAGTATATTTTATTAATTCTACTTCAATCATATTTTATATAAAACTGTATACGCATGTGAACCTGTTTCTATCATTTGTGTATCTCTCTTTCTACACCGGTTCCGTCCGTATGAATAAAAAAAAAAATATAAAAAAACATACGAAGATGAGAAATCATTTGTATGCTTTTTGTCGCTTATAAATGTATGAGATTTTCCTCAAACACTTATTTTAATTGAATTTCTATTCATCTTTGTACTTCCTCGACGAGAAACTATACTGATAACAAACTTTCAAGACTAACTGCGTACAATGTGTTCACTTGATACAGCAGTTACCGCAAAGATCGTTAGAGTAAAAATTAATTTTCTTGTTCATTATTTTTATCTAACGTCGATCGATTTTTTAATATTATTTTACATAACGGAGTCGAGTTTTGCGGAGAGATTCTTAATGAGATTAAGAATTCCGAGTGCATCGGCGTTCACATCCGGATTTATAAGATCGAAAGGAGATGACATATTCGACTGACTCGCGACGACTGTCTGGCAGGAGAGAATTCTTTGACAGGAATTCAAATCGTTGGCACTACTCGCAATTGGAGAACGGCCAAATTGCTCGTGAACTGTCCGAATGTGCCCGTTAATCCAATTCAAGAGCTTTTCGATTGTTTTACGAACAGTGTTTTCCAAAGTGCACGCGCGAGAATTTAACGCGATACGCAATAAAGAAAACATCACTGAGATTTCAAATATTTTATAATAATAAAATATTAAAACTCTGCCCCCTTTCAGGGTAGACCTAAAGAATCTTAATTTTATTTAATGACAGATTTTTTTCCGTTAAATCTATAATTTGTCAGAAATTTTATTATTAAAATCAAATCATCATATTCAGATCGGTTCAAATATTGGACCAATCTAGTGTGAGATGGAAATTTTTCGTATTAAGATAATGATCGTGATAGAATTAATGTATCACAACTTTGACACGAAACTATTACAATATTTCAAAAATATATAACGCTCGAATGTGGTTTCCGGAAACTGCAATTTGTCGACAGATGCGATTCTCGTATATTACTCTTTATTCTTTATTTTCTGGATGTTTTCTAGATGTTTGCCCAGCTTTAAGATGCTGTAACGGTCCACTAATCCACGTTCGCGATTGAACTCGATTGAATTTATACAGTATATTAAGGGCATCTGAGATAAAAATTACTTTTTACCGTTAATAATATTTGTTGCTATATGGTGACAGCGTTATTAAACATTTTATCGTGAGTTTATCATTCGTCATTTTATAAGACTTATCTAATGTCTCCATTTAGCAACGCTAGATCAATATACTTCGCTACTAATTCGCTCGTCGCGCTCTTAGATGTAGCGTCTTCTCGGCGCCGTCAACTCGCTGTATCATGTGTTGCACATGTCTCCGTAATTACAATCTCCAGATATATCGGGTTAACGTTTATAAACGCGCGAGTGCACGCGAGTGTTTATTTGTCTCGCGGTAGTGTCGGGTGTCCGTTTACCGGTAGCTTAATGTTGCGATACGCGAGAACGAGCGAGCGAGGAAACAGACGTGCGGGCGGGAGGACAAGCGCCGTGCTCTTCACGTGCTCTTTTACGACCCGTCCGTTCCACGTGTGTACTCGTTATCGCTCGCCTACAAGCTGTTTCTACTTTATTTTGGCCCCCACGAGTTCCATTCTAGACTCTATCGAGCACGTTAATAAATCATCGAAGTGCGAACGCGGTTACGACCAAAATTCTCTCCATGTAGCTTATTCGCCTCAGACATATACGACCTTAACGAAACAGTACATCAGAATCGTTGACAATCAAAAGATAGATAAAGGAAATCGATTGTCTCGAAATTTTTGGGAAGTATTTAAAAATGCACTGGGAGCAATTTGGGATAATAATAAATAAAATTGCAGCATACTCACGATTTCTCATGTTTAATCGTGCGCCAAAGTGATTCTCTCCGATACTTTCGATGGGATAGCAACATCCTCAATCATTAAAAATAAAATGATACGGAATAAACATCTATCCTAAGAGAAAATGCTCTCTGAAAATTAATACAAATTAAATTTTTGTATTCATCAATTTAAAAAAGATTCATAAGTACGTCGAAGAAATAATTGTAAATAATTGCACATCCATTCGTACATCTACACGTACTCGTTCATTTCAAGTTAAAATAAGACCGAAACTTAAAATTAAAGATTTTGTACGCCATTTCATAGTTAATGAGAAATGAAATTACTGTTACCACTGACTATACATTCCGAAAATCGAATTTCCGCGTTCAGAATATTACGTATGCCACGTAATCGCGCTGTGAGTGACACAATCATTATCTACATATCGCCCTAAATTTTCTCTCGCCCGCGACTCGTGAATCTGGACACATCGAAGCTCGATAAAACACGTCGATATACGTTGATGGACGTGCAAAAGTGCACGTCGAGCATTCCCGCGTTCGAGCTCGAGGAAAATATATTTGGTAACGAACGTGTCATTCGAATTTGACAGAAACATACAATGCGTCTGGCTTCCGTGTGTCGCGTTTGTTTGCCACATATGCGTAGCTGTAAGCGCGCGCGTAAAATTGCGCGGATACATGTTTTATCCTGGAGTAGATCTTTAATCTCACCCCAATAAACCTGAGAGGATGCTTCGGACCCGCAGTCGTTGCGACTTCTTATTATGCGAACTATGCAGCCATTTTCAGGGATAGTTGCCGTGGCTTCGGGTGCTACCGAAAGAGAGAATGAGATCGGCTTGCTCTTAACGCAGTAGCCACCAGTGGCACTCGAACGCGCGCCGTCAGTAACGTCAGGATGGCGACAACGTCGAAATGATGACGACATTAATCGATTCAGACTGTTATTCTTGTTCACCATAGATCAGCTGGCTGGCATTTCCGAGCTCTGCGTCTGAGACAATTCCAGCAAGTGGCACTCCGACAACGGGATCTCCCTTGTGCGATCGCTCTGTTTCCTCTGTAATTGCATAATTTTATTATTATATAATGTTTTCCTACACAGTAATTGTAAAATTAATTTAATAACACATAAAAAATATTTCACAAGTTGAAAGTAAAAAATATATCTAAATATCTTCTTCGATTATTCTTTAAACTAAAATTAAAACTTTTTTTAAATGTCCTAAAGAATTCAAAATCTCTTTCGATTCTCTGTTTTTCGAGTATCTGGGATTTACTGTTGCTTTTCTTCGAAATTAGATTTTAAATAATTTTATGAAACTCAAAATTTCGAAAAATACTACCTTTCTCCGAAAAGGAAAGCAGCCTCTGTCGTCATTGTTGGGTGGTGTATGGTTTATCAATAAGTCTGGGGTGGGCGTGTTGTTAGGACCTAATACATTCAGTTCCTTAAAACACTCAGTCTCTATCATCTGCAAGAGGAAGAAATGAAGCGCGTTAGATTGTGATTTGTTTGACAATCCTAACTCCGTGAGGTGCGTAGTAAGTGATTTAACATAGGCAGCTAAAGGTGGCTCGTGCGTAATGCGTCTTATGCAGCATCGCGGCTTTAAATACATCTACTCGAATAACGCCAGTGATAACGAGCCTCTCGCGTTGCCTCTGACGTAGGAAAACACGAGCTCTATATTTTTTGATCCAAGTGCCATTCTCCAGATGTTCTGCATGTACATGTAATAATTTCAAAAAACGAAACGAAGCAAAATCCTCTGAAGTGCAATTAGATAACGAGATTTTATTATTTCCTTGCTACGCTTTAAATTCAAATTCAATTTTATTTTTTCAGAATTTCATTTCGATTTTTAGCAAACATTATTTGTAATCTTACAAAAATATTACATAAACAAAGATATTACATAAATGACATTTTCTCATTTCTTAAGTTTCAACATTTCGCCGTAAAAAATCAGAATATATCTTGTTGTTTATAGACTCTAGTCTATATCTACTTAAGAGATGAGAAAATGTCATTTATGTAATATCTTTGTAAGATTAAAAATTATGTTTGCTAAAACGTTGATAGCTAAATATTGTATCATTTTTTATTTTAGTGTACAACCCATTTGACAGAAATTTACGATCGGAAAATAATAACTTCAATCTCAATAAACGGAGACCATTATCTTTTAAAATTTTTCTAACAAAAGTTAAAGTCTAAATAAAGAAGAAAATTAAATTTATTAAAAATATTGTTAAAATTATTTTGAATCATCTTATCTAAATTATAATCTTGGGTGATATATGGATCCTTTAAAGTACTATCAATATCAATATAAGTGCTTGAGACGCGTAGGTGGTCGAAGAATGCGATTTACATTCATGTTATAATGGAGATCTTATTAACTGGTCGTTTACTGTGTGACGTAGCAACAATATTATTTTTATAAGAAAGGTCAAAGGCCTTATTCCTGAGGCGCAATATGTCTCACAATCGGTGATTATGATACAGATGCGACGTGTAGGATTATTTTACCTCATTTTGCCATGGAATGGACACGCTGCCGGTGTTGAACTTGCTGTAGAAGGTATCATCCGTGGCATCCAAATTAACACCTTTCACCGTGGAGAACTGCTCGATGTCCAAAACATCTTTAGCGTAAACCGCACGAGGCTGTAATGATAAACGTATCAACGATTAATAATTTTCATATTCTTACCACCTTCAATGTTTTTACACATACATTAAATCTTTTATACAAAAAGGACAATTTATTACTAGCACAAAAATATAATAAAACAAAAATATTATAACGTTAAAATTTTTAGCAATTTATGCGATTTCTTAAAACATCATTTCATTTTATGACAATATATGCTAATTAAAAATTGTAAATATTATACTGATTTAGTATAATTATCGAAATTAGTGTTAAAGTTGTATATACAGCTACAATTTATATGCAAACTTAATCTAAACTCTCGGAATTTAAATAGACGAACAAATAGATTAAACGAGAATAAAAATGAAAACATGAAACCTCGATGTGGATTTAAACGATCGATCATCAAATAACACCTACTTACATCCGGCACAAACGGCGGTTCCCACATACCAGCCTCGACCCTCTTCCAATTCAGGCACTGGAAGAAGCTATGGAGTTTCACCTCTTTCGCCCCGTGTCGACCGCACTTGCAACCCAGCCTGTTTTTCGGACTCTTCTTTAACAGCTGTTGGCACAGACTTTTGGCATCCTCGCTGAACTTGGGCGAATACCTCTCTTGATCCTCCTTGACGCGTCTGTCGATTTCTTCGCGTTTGGTCTTCTCCTTGCGAGCGCGGAACGGTGCTTGGCCCTCGATCATCTCGTACAATAGGCAGCCAAAGCTGAACCAATCTGGCGAGAAGGTGTACTTCTCATTGTCGATCACCTCAGGCGCCATGTAACCCACTGTGCCGACCCTACCGCGCACCATGTCGCCCTCCGTAATTTCCACCGCGAGACCGAGATCGGATATTCTCACATGACCATGATCGTCCAACAGTATGTTCTCCGGCTTGCAGTCCCTATAGACGATACCTTGAAGATGAAGATGTTCCAGACCGCACACGACCTCGGCCGCATAGAATCGGGCGCGATTTATGTCAAAACCTGGCTCACCGCCCATATTGTAAATATGGAACTTGAGATCGCCGCCATTCATGATAGTCAGCACGAGGCAGAGAGCGTCCTTCGTCTCATACGCATACGCGAGCGAGACAACAAACTTGGAATTGATCTTCTGCAGAATGTTTTTCTCGATTAGTACCATCGATTCGCCTTTCCTCTTCTTGATGCGCTTCTTCTCCAATTTCTTGCACGCGTACATCTTACCGGTGGCGCGTACCTGGCAAGCGCAGACCTCACCGAAGCCACCCTTGCCCAATACCCGATACATCCGGAAGGTCTTGTATGTCACTGGTTGCGCCTCCAGCCATTTCCACTGGAGATACCTGAAGAAACGTAGGAAAAACGTCTCTCTATTTCTCAATTCTTTCTCGTAGTCAGAATCAGATTCTCATGGAAAAAAATTCTTTTCTACAAATTTATATTATCTATCTGCCACACAATTTATTCATTGGCACTTCACCTGTAGAAGTAGAAACTGCTGAGGAAGGCTGAGAACGGCTCGCCAGCCAGGAAATTTTTCACGGTCTGCGCGACCTCGGTGAAAAGCTCCTTGCCGCCGGTGCTGAGTCGTTCCTCGCACTGAGAGATCAAGGAATCGTTCAGAATGTCGACCACCTCCGAACCCTCCCGCTTCAAGTACTGCTCGAACAGCTCTTTTGCCAGATCGATGCGATTCTCGTCCAGCTCAATCTCGTACTTCTCGATCGCGTCCAGAAAGAGATTGAGCAGCCGCCCAATCGGCTGCTGGTCCACCACATAACTGTACCTGATGTCTGTCCGACATGAATTACGTTGATTATTTTTCCGAAATGAACTGTACGTCATGCGCACGAATATAAATTTTTTTAATAAATTTAATTTATGTCCGTAAAATCTAATTAATTGATCCTGTTAAAATTAAGTCGTAGAATGCTACTTGCTTGTTGCTTGAAAAGATTTCTGTCTATTTTTTCTTACTGTTGGAAAAATAAATGGAAATATTTTTGAATAGATTTATTCAACCAAAGACAATTTTTAATAATTTATATGCTTCTGAAAATTAATTCTGTATATTTTAATCCTCATAATATCAATTAAAAATTATATCACAAAATAAAATAAATCTAAAACTATAAAATCTTAAGATATAAAAATCTTATTTAAATAATTAGCGATTTTATAATCCCTTTTCGAATTTATAATTATGTAAATAAATAATAGTAGAACAATAAATTCATCAAAATCTTCTTAATATTATTGCAGTGTTTAGAGTAACGACTTCTAATAGTAGAAAAAATAATTTCTTGCGTATTTTATATAGCTCATATTCGCGAGAATAAGTCTTATTTGTTCGCAAGTTTTCATTATTTCAAATCAGGGGAGAGCATTATCAGAGTAGGTTAACGGGACACGCAACGAACATTGTTTCTCCGCCCTTTGCAGCGTTTTTTCAACTGCATAATGCGCATTACATGATGCAGGCCCGTGATTCAATAATCGCACAGATCTATTAAGTAGTTTTTTAATGCGGCTATTTTATATACACAACATCTACATTGCCAAGAAAATTACGACCGCAAAATATTATTTAGGTAAAATAGCTTTTTATTATAATTTCTTTTTTTATTTCAAAGTTTTTGTGACCTCAATTATTACTGACTCACCCAGTTTATCTTTTAGGCCGATGCACTGAGAAATGTGTGGGAACTGAAGTATCTTCCGCCATTTCTTACTCTTTCCTTTATTGCTGTCACCACCACCTATCCAAAAAATATAAAAATTTTCATACATACGAAAAACGTCCAAATATGTCAAGTGAAATATGTAAACAATAAAAAAAAACTTATTGCAATTTTAAGATTTTTAACAACTTGCCGCTTTTATTTTCTACCCATTTTATTGTATTTTATTATTCGTACCTCTCTATTTTTGTATTTTTGTAAATTAGTAAAAATTTTTATTATCGAAAAATTTATCGCGTCACGGCAGAATTCTCCAATTTTTATCCATAACGCTGTACGTTAATTAAAAACGAATACGAGCATGGTTTTCCTGTTTGATGACCATTAATTAGAACTCGAATGAAATTGTGCAGTAATTCTGCGTGCGTGCGATTGTGCGTCAAAAGATATATTAAAAATGCGATAAAATTTGTTTTATTCAATGTCAGTGTAACTTCTGTTCGACGATAAAGTGACATGTTAAAATCATACATTTAGGGAAAAAAACTGTAAACTTGTATTTAACAGATATAACTATTTCATTTAAAATTTGTTAAAAAATTCTTAAATAAATATTATATGTTGCAAAATATTAAAAACATAAAATCGCATATAAAAAATCACGTATAAAAATTACTATAATTTTAAAGTTACAATAAAATATGCCCCATGAATAATTCAATTAATAAGTTATACTTGAAAAATATAACAAGTCATTTGTGAAAGACTTTATCCTTAAAGATGTTACGTCTATTGGATTCTGAAGCAGATATAAGTCATAAACATCTTGGTGAAGGCGAATGGACAGTAAAATACAAAAGTACAAAATATTGGATTGAAAACTGCCGGAAGTTACGGAATTCACTCAAACGAGGATAACAGCAGATATTGGATCAACGTTACAAGATTTAGCCCGGCACTTCGTAGAATTCGAAATGACGCCTCGAGAGATCCGTCGCGATAGAAACACTAAATAAGAAGAAAGTTATTTCTCCCTTTATCATTCGTAATTTATTGTCGAAAATATACACAATATTACTACATTCAATTCCTACATTTCTTTTTCCATCCTTCGGAAAAAGTCTGCTTTCTTCCTCATTGTATAAAAACGTGCCAAGTTAAAATTTCAGGAATAATTTGCGTTTTTCAACAATATTATAAATAATATAAAGCGTAAATATATATGGGTCGCCAAATCGGATGGTCTTCGTCATCGACCCTTTTGATTATTTTACTGATTTTTTAATATAGCCATTTTTTAGGTGTGTTTTCCAAAATTATCAATCAATTTGTAAGGATTACTTCAAGTCTAAAATATATTTTTCTGATGGTGCTTCTGAACAATTCAAAAATTTTAAGGGCTTTGCAAATATTTATTATCATGAAGAAGATTTTAGACTGAATAGCATTTTTTGCTACGGCAAAGGTCTACCATATGTGATGGAATAGGTGGTATGATATAATAAAAAGAATGACTACTCGTGCAAGATTTCAACGCCCATCTGATTGCCAGATTACTCTACATGAACTGTTTGAGTGGACCAGATCCAATAAATTGCCAATAATTTGCCAAATAAAGTTCTCATTAACAGAAGAATATAACTTAGCAAAAGAATATTTTGCGACTTAATTTGAAAGAGCAAAGCCTGTATCTGAAACTCAAAAAGTATTACCCCTAAAAAAAAAAATGGTATGTTTCTTGTAAAAAAGTTGTCTTTAGATTATAAAAAAACGTAGGATTAAAGAAAAAAATCTGATCCAATATTTATTAATAAATTTGTGCACATATTCTAAAAGACGTTATTTTATTCAGATAATATTCCTATAAATTCTTATTCCCTAAATAATTGTGAAATCAAAAATATATTCTCTAGTATCGTCATGAAATAATATGATTTATGTAACTCATCAGTAAATTAAAACTCAACTAACATTAAATAATAGATTTAATATTTTCAAAAATTAAAAAACATGAAACGGAAATTTTGATCATAATCAAAAGTGTTTGTATTTTTACTAAGAATATTGGAGCATTTTTTAATAAAAATTAAAAATATCGATCTTGAAAAAAATCGACTTTGTTTCATTTCGATCAAATTTTTCAAATAGAAATAAAAACTTGAAGTATTTTTCATATTTTTTTCCTAACTAGTACAAAACAGGTCGATCGGCACAAGGAGCAGGAACCAAACTGAAAATCGGCTGAAATGTGTAACTAAATCTCAGCTCTGATTTAAACAGAATTGATATAGTTATTTTTTGTTTTTCAATAATTTAAACAGAAGTTATGTTCAACTAAACGTTTGCTAAATAAAATAAATTGAAAATATTAAAAAATTCATATCTAGGAAATAGAGATAAACATTTTAAAAAATAACTGAATACGTATTTTAATCTGAGGGATATATTAAAAAATCAATAAAAAAATCTATAGGAGTCAGTGACAAAGGCCGTCCAATTTGGCGTGAAGAATACATAAATATTTAAGATTTTATATACACAATAATAAACTTCTGTGAAGCTGGCATTCCATTGTCAAAATTTCGATTTAATTAATAGAGTTCTAGAGTTTTAGAGGCTCTTTCTCAAAGAGTTCTAGAGTTTTTGATAGATTTTGACGATTAAATGCAAAAAAAAAACGTGATTTGAAAGTTTGAGGTGTTTTCAATCAACTTCATGTTTTCGCGAAACGAAAATTAGACATAATTTTCTTTTCAAGTCAGAAAGAAAAAAGTGACTATACTATTTGATAAAACTCTTGTTCGCTATTCAGAACTCTAAAGAGAACACTAAAAAAAAAATTTGTTTAAATAAAAATGTTTTTATTCGATTTTATTTTTAATTCGATTTTTCAAAAAATAATGATAATTATTAATTTTGGTTTCAAGGCCTCGATTATTAAAGATAATCGTTAGAACTCTTAGAGCTGCTCAGAACTCTTATCAAACTTTTGGAAATCTGATAAAAATTTTTCACGCCTAGATACTTAGAAAATTTCGCTCTAGGAAACAAACACTATGACAATAACTAGTCTTGATTTTAACGCCTCGATTACTAAAGGTAATTGTTAGAATTCTTATAGCGCTATCCAGAACTCTAAAGAAAACACTAAAAAAAATTTCAAATAAAAATTTTTTGATGAAAATAACGTGAAAAATAACGATAATTCTAAATAAGAGCTATAATCTCTAATGGCCTTGATTTTAACGAATATTATCCAGGATCCTGAACAACATTCAAGAGGTTAGTCGTCGATCGGATATTTTACATAATGCTGGCGGTACTGTGACTTTTAAACCTCATAACTCGTCGAAAAGTACTTAATAAAAAATAACTTTATTACAGTGTTTTGAAAAGCTCTTGACACCAGCTAGTTTCTGGAATCAAAAATAGGATATGTCATAAAAATCGATGTGATCTTGTTCTGACCTTGGAGACGCCACTCAAGATCAGACTGACCAGATCAGTAAATAGATCATTTAAAATCCTACAATTTTTATACATTTCTTTCAAAAATGCTTAGTTTTTTCGAGATATTTCGTCAGCCCAGGACTTTTTACTCAGCCCTATAAAAATCACTTAATAATTTTTAGATATAAATAAAATTTTTAGATACGGGGTATGTCCTAAGTAGATACGCTAAAAGATTAAGAGGTAATTTTTCATAAAAATTCGAAACGAAAGCTTCATATAATCTCCGATATAATCATATGTCCAAAACAGCTTAGTTTCAAAGATACACATGTCAAAGTTGGAAAAAAATTTCGTTTTTTCCAAAAATTTCAAAAATCATTCAGCTTATTTTGATGAAATTTTATACATATTTAAAGAACAAAAGATGAGGATGAAACCTCATTTTTTGAGACCATATACATTATTTTTTTATTTGATTAAAAGCTCAAGAAATAAGCGAGTAAGCTTTTTTATTAAAAAAAAAAAAAAAAAAAAAAAAAACTTAATACGCACTTATTTTTCTTAAGGATGTTTTAACTATACAATATTAACTGAAAATATCAATTAAATAATCAAGATGCCATTTTATGCAGCTAAGAAAAGCTGGAATTTTACCTCCACTTCATCAATTTTTATATACAGCGAATTTAAACTCAAAGTTCGATATTGTTCAACTAATAGCGAAGCACCTCGCTGAAATACATGACATACCTACTTCATAACCATACAATTTTTAAATGAATAAATGTATATATTTTAAGTGTAATATTTTTGTTTCCAAATCTCTGATGCAACTGTAACTACTACTATGATACGGCTGTATTCTTGTACTTAGTGTACGTAAACGTACTTAGTGTATTGTAAACCATATTAATGTTTTTAAATTAAAAGCTAACAAAAATAAATGAGTGTCTTCATTGGTCTTCGCTTAAAGTCAGCGAAGATACGCTCCATGAAGGAAGCAGGAGAACAGCGAACAGCTTTGATTGCAGTAAAGTACAGGGATAAAAGCCAACTTTTTTTCGTTATATAAAATTGCACCTCCAGTTAAAATAAACTAATATCACAAACTGTAGCAATCAAAGCTAGACCTTAACGGTCTAGCTGGATTTTGAACTATAACTATAACTATAATATCAGTCAATATCATTACAAAAATTTTGATATTAATCCATGAATATGCTCTGAAACCAATTAAAAAAAAACAAAACAAATAATTTGGCTTATTAGTCGGTAGATCGCCGGTTCAAATATCAGTAACGACAATTTTTTTTATCTTTTTAGAAAATTTGAAGTATTTAGAAAGTTTAAAAATATTTATAAACATTTTAGAAAAATTTAAAAATATTTTGAAAATAACACATTAATAGAATTAATGTGTCATTTTCAAAATATTTCTAAATTTTTCTAAAATGTTAATATATAAGTTGTTCGTAATATATAAGTTGTTTTTGGATAAAAAGTCTTTTAAAATTAATTCTTGGTGTTTTTCTGATTAAAAATGACGTGAGACGTATTTTTATATATTAGGTGTTGGAATTAATTCGTAGCGTTTTTTAATGAAAGAATGTTATTTATTTCACATG